CCCGAGGCTCCCCGTGCGCTGGGGGCCCACCCTCCGGGAGCCAGCAGGCCAATCAATTGGCTTTTCATGTTCACTTGTAAATCTGTCCCAGGCCTGGGCTCCTTATCTGGAAATGGTGTACTCATAGTAAGTGAACCTCTGTGAATCACTAATCTCTACTAGATCCTGTAGTGGTAGATGAAGCCAGAAAGCCTCAAAGGACAGGACAAGATCACAGCCAAGGACACCTGGGTCAGATCTCAACTAGATAAAGACTATAGCTTCAGGCATTTCATTCTTCAATGGACTAACTTAATACCTTACTTAGACAAGTCCTTGAGTGGTTCTGCCCTTATGAGTACTCCCCTCCCTTGTTCTGATAACCAAATAAATATGGGTGACCCAGAGAAGGTTGTGATCTTAGCCCTGAGAGAATCATGAATTATGTGAGAGGACTTTGATCCTCATGGAGCCCTGAAATCATTCCATTTGCCTCTTTTTATTTAATCATTGCCTCACACTTATTCAGGAGATTGTGGACCTGATCAGCCCGCAATAACTAAGGCATCTTATTAAACTCACAGAACTCAAAATCATTAGAGGTGGAAGACCAGTGGTTTGGAGGCACCATCTAGCCAATGGTCCAAATGCACCAGCACACCATGCAAGGTAGAAGACAGCAGGGGGTGTCCTACATGAGGTCAGCACTCTGGAGAAGCTGGTGCTGATGAGTGAAAAAGGAAAAGGGAGGTGCTGACCCTTTCCTCCAGCATAGTTTTGTAAGAAGCAACAAGCCAGGCAAAGAAAAGGACCCCCAGTGTGTCTGTCACCATCAGACACAGGTATTTCTCTACAGTCTGTGCTTCCCCAGTGCCTTGAGGGCGCAGGAGTGCTGGGTACTGTTTTCCTATGCTTTTGTCCTGCCTATCGCTAGCCACTTGTGCTCACTGGCTGAGCTGCATTGTGCTCACTTATGAAGTGAGGAAACCCTTGCTTTGTGGACTCACAGGTTCAGAGAACTGGGAGAAACACTTTCTGGTGGAAAAGACTCACTGTGTGTGGAGGAGTCAAAGGAACCCCACAAAGAGGAGCCTCTGCATCTGTGTTTGCACCTCAATCCTGAACCAGCCTAGCACGCTGCCTCCTGAGGTCTCACTTAGTTCCACAGGCCTCTGGGTCCAGCCTCTCTTTGCTTCCACTGACATCTGTGCCTACCTCTAGTCACTCCATTCCCCTGCAGACTCAGGCTAACCCTTAATTACCTTTCCACTTCCATGTGTGGATAAGGAGGGCATTTTGGGGACAGCAGACCAATCCTGAGCCAACTCAGTAGGATCAGAGGTGGTTCCTTAACTTGGAGGGACCCTGAAGTCAAGGGTCTATTGTCCCATGTTCTCACACCTACATACCTTCAATGCCTGTTTTTCCTCTGGTTCTTCATCTTGATTAGTTTCTGTAATCAGAATTGGTGGGAGAATGGGTGAGGGCCAGCGACTCTGTAATGACCCCAAAGCCCTTCTCCTCACTCTGCCCATGTCCTATAGAGTCATCTGGAACTTCCCATTGCTGGTACATCTCCCCATCCCCGGGAGAGGAAGTGTGAAGGAATCTTACACAACACTGATTGCCCATGATGGAGCAGGGGCCTCAGGTGTTCATCCATGTCTGGCTGCTGCTCCCCTAACCCAGACAGGGCCAGGTCAGGTGGTGGACGGAGAGATGGCCGTGATGTCACAAGGGCAGATGTGACCCAAGAACTAGGTTGCCCTCCAGGCTCACAGATGTTTGAGGAAGGGTGAACACCTGCCCCTTTCCTTTCTGCCAATGGTGGACCAGAGTCTTCAGGTTTGGTGAGTGTGTCTTACCCCGAGATTGACGGTTGCTGTAGCCCACTGCCAGGTCCTTCCTTCAGCAGATACCAAGCAGCTCATGTTGTCGTAGGAGCACATGGGTCTCTATCAAAGGACAATTTTGCTAAAATCCTTTCCCGGACTCTCTTGGGCTTTTAACTATTTTCATTGTTGTCTTGCATTCCACAGACATTTTTAATTTTACACGGAGGTCTTTAGTATTTAATTGCAGTGTTTATGTTTCTTTTTTTAAAAAGACATTCATGAACATTGTGTGAGCAATTTTGTCTGCAAGGATGTAATAAAAAAGATAAAAGGAATCGGTTTTCTGACTCACTCCTCTAGATTCCCTCATCATGGACTCAGCCATTTAATTCCTTTATGTATTTCTTTGATATATCTCAAAACATGCTGTGTTGAAAATTCTTATTTTCTACTTTTGTTCTTTTCTTTCTTTATTTTAAAGAAACAAAAACAATAAAAATGATACAGAATCTCAAAACAAGATGATAGGAAATTAACAATGGTTATTATATTGCATATTATTATCTTTGAAGCAGTTGCTCAGATTATCAGGTAGAGACATGCAAAACTGGTCAGACAATATAAGCACTAGCGACTCCTTTCAATAAACTAATAGAAATTAGTAATACAGTTATCTTAGCTATCTTGTGTGTATATATACATATTTTTTCCTTCCTTCTTTTGTCTTTTCCCCCATCCCAGTTGTTCTTTCCTTTTGAGCAGTTTCTTTCCCTTTCACTATATCTATTGTACCTTTTGGATCTTATTTACTCTTTCAGTTTCTTGCACTAGGGGAGATTTCTTTCCACATAGGTGAGGACTTCTTTCTGTCCTCCTCTTAGTATGATGACAAAGTCATGGAGAGGACTAGGAAAGCCTTCTCTCTGGGTGCATGCCCCTCTGGGCACACGTTTTCTGTAGTGTTTCTTTTTCTTTTTTTAACTTTTGGAGACAGGGTCTCACTCTGTAGCTCAGGCTGGTCTTAAACTCACTGTGTAGCCCAGGGTGACCTTGAACTCACAGTAATCCTCTTGCCTCACCTCCTGAGAGCTGGGATTACAGGCATGTGCCACCATGCCTGGCCTCACTCGTGTTTCTTGTGTTCCCTGTGGCAAGGCAAAGGCTGCAACTGTGGCGTCCCAGATGCCTCTAAGGGGGCGTAGGAGGGAGACAGAACCACACAGTTCTGCGCTGCGAGGTGGGTGGTGGGATCCATGTCATCTGGCATGCTCAATCCTGGTGTCATCAGTGTGATTACACTTCTGTCTCAGAGGGAAGATGCACCAATTCCAGAGGAAAACACCCTCTTCTCCCCTCCATGTTGTAGTCCAAGCTGTCCTCAGCATAGGACTCTCAGTGAGTGTGTGTGAGAGCCACCTTTCCGAGCCAAGCTTGCCTCATGAGGCTGCCATCCACCCAAGCAATGCAGTGGAGTGTCTTTGAAGTCCCAGAGGTGAGAACTTGCTGGGGATGCTGAACCCCAGAACAGTACAACAGGACCCTTATCAACATAGCTCCTGGTCACACTTCCCTGGAAGGTCACTGGGAGATGCAACAGATTCCTGTAAAGCAAGCCTGCTGACCAGACGTAGCTCTCTCATGTATTCAGCCTATACATCGGCAAGGTACAGGCTTCTGGGCCTGGCTGGGACTCTCTCTTTCACCTTTACCCTCTCAGAGTAGAGACCTCCTGCCCCTTGCCCAGCCATGGGATTAGACAGCAACTGCTGGTGTGTTCCGTTTCTCTAGTAGTGCTCTATCCCTGCTTTCTGGATGTCATCAGGTCTCTGTCTCTGTTATTGAATTCCAGTGTCCTCCCATGGCTATGATCCTTACATGCAGCTACACACCTGCAACTTTTATTAAATCTTGGTAGAGGAGCAGGAAAGTTCTGGGGACCTTGAATCCACTATCTTGGCCCATCTCCTGCCAGGCTTGGGGAGCAGTTGTTACCTGGCTGTGTGCATGAAGGAGAACAGGGTGAACCAACAAATGCATAGATAAATATGTATGGCCCGCTGTGGACTCTTACTAGCTCCACTGCACACTGTTACTAGTTTTGTTAATAACTATTGTTAATAGTTTTGTGACTCGTTTTAATGTGACTAGCACAAGCCTATTCTTTGCCTCTTCTTTCTTTAAAAACAGACTTAACTAGCTGTGGACATTCATTCTTTGATGAAATCATTTCATATATGAGATTCAAGATCTCCTGATGAGATGTGGATTGGAATTCATTTTTATTGCAGTGTCAGCTTAACTGATTAATGCGGAGAACACTGACAGCCTTACAGAGTTAAGTCTTCTACTGATGAGCACAGTGTGTCTCTCCACTGACTTGATCTCTTCCACCTTCTGTGGTGCAGCAAAGTGGCTCCTGGCACTTGAAGGATACGGCCTTGAAGAGGAGGAGTGAGGCCCGCTCCTTCCTGGCTGCTGATTGGGTTGTGCTGTGGTGACTGAAGTAGAACAGCCGTTCTTGGGTGACACTTTGAGAATGGGGAAATACATGGAGGGTAAAGGCCTAGCAGGGGCCAGGACTGTTCACGGAGTGTAGAGCCACACCAGGCACGCACCATCTGTGGGAAGGGGAAATAAACTTCCCATTTCTTTAAACTACTGTGAGCTTTATTGTGCTGCTATTCACAGTCACCTGTTCCTGAGAAGCTGAGCTCTAACCTAGTGATTCTGAAAGAGGGGCACCCGGAACAGTGGCCATCACCTGGAAGATTATTTCTTTTTTATCTTTTTAATTTATTTTAAAAATAAAAGGAGACATATTAGCAAACAGACATCCATTTACAAAATAGCATAAGAACAATACAAACAATACAGAGCTACAGACAAAGTTGTAGGAAATTAACAATGGTTGTTGTATTACTTATTGATATGTTCAAAGTGGCTTCTCATGAAAACAGATATAGACATGCAATACTGGTCAAACAAGTAATCATTAACTGTTACTTTCAGTAAAGCAATAGAAGACAGTAGTACAACTACATTAGCTATCCTGTATACACATACATACATAATTTCCCCTTCTTTCCCTTCTCTTTTCCCACACTCCAGCTGCCCTTTACTTTCGAGCATTTTCCTTTCCTTTCACAATGTCTATCATGCTTCCTAGTTTTTATTCACTCTTTCAGGTTCTTACACTAGTGAGACAATACGTTGCTTGGAAGATGATTAGACACACATGCTCATGAGCTGCACACATGGAAGCAGGAGCACTGGGTGGGACCCATGGCTTGCTGCAGAGCCCTAAGCCCTCTACCGAGGGGGCACGTGCCACACTGGAGAAGCACCGCTCTTACTGTTTCTTTCTTAGATGCAACACCCTCGGTGGGGCCCCTCCATGGCAAGATGGCCACTTTGTTAGCAGCAGAGCACAGAGGTTTCCCGGAGAGAAACGCTGCCACACATGTGCTCTGTGTAAGTGAAGCAAGGGCACAGAAGCTGCTTAGCAGTTTACCTCCCTGAATGGGTGACTCATAAATGGCTGATAAGTGTCCATGGCGCCTCCCAGCTGGCTCAATGAATGAGGCAAATTCTAAAAACTTCAATTTTGGCTCATAAGTGAACAACCATACTTCATGTCATACTCAAGCCTTCTAACTGCAGATGATCAGCTGATTTATGCATTATAACTAAATCAGGTGCACAAAGGATGCCCTTGCGGAGGGGCTTATGATCTGTGCGGAGACAACCTGAATGAAGTGAAAGCACTTTGGGAAGAGGATCTCCAGGGAGCAGGTGGCCAGGGAACGTTCTGACAGGCTGCACCCTTGGCGTGACCTGCTCCCGGGGTCTAGGGGCCTGAGGAGCATCTAGGGAATATGTCGGCAGGGTGCAGTGGTCAGGTCCAGAGCAGGCAGGGTCAGGAGGAGCATGAGTGTGGCTGGGGAGCACTTCCCACCTTGCTCTCTATTTAGGGCGAAGGCTGTGGAGGATGGAAAGTGAAGAACGGTACCCAGCTCAGGGCCGCCATGGCTGGGGAGCACTTCCCACCTTGCTCTCTATTTAGGGCGAAGGCTGTGGAGGATGGAAAGTGAAGAACGGTACCCAGCTCAGGGCCGCCATTTACACAGACAGCAGGGAGCTGGAGGCCTTGGTGACCCTGCAGCTGAACCCTGCCACCTAGGGCAGATATTGTTAATCGCCGTGGGCCCCGCTATCCCACAGAGGCTGTGGCACCCCTCTGTCCCCAGAGTCCCAGACATACCCTCCCTGCTGATCTCCCAGAGCAAAATTTTGAAGGAAGCTCTAGCCTGTCATGATTTCTCTGACCCTTTGTCAAGACCAAGACCTCCAGGGGTTTGTCTAAGAAAGATGTAGTGACACATGGAGTATTTGGAGCAGACCTGGTCAGTCCTTTATTGGAAAGGGGATGCAGTCTGTAATGCGACACACCTGAGCACCTAGGAAGATATCGAGCTGAAGTTGTAGGTGGCTTCCTGTGAGCTCATATCTGCCCTGCATAAAACCGCGGGTATGGCAATTGTGCCAGCGCCAAGAGACCTGGATTTTGCGGATGGCCTTGAGCAAACAACAGTATCGCCGGCGGATGCGCCACATTCGGTACCCAGACTGTAGCCTCACAGATGCTCTGGTTTGCTGTGCATACAACTCTAGCACCGCCCTCCGCCTCTTCTCCAGCAGCCTGGCTCTTGTCTGCCTCCACCAGCACTGGATGATCCATGCCCTGAGCGCCGCGTGCAGCAGGGTTCGTCGCAGTAGTGTGCCCCGCCACCAGGCCTGGATCTTTATAGCTGCCGGTCCGCGGTTAGGAGGTGGCTTTATTTTGAGCAGCAAGGGCCATGCAAGGTAAATAAAAGACATTTAGGACATATTCTCCAAAACTCCAGCCCCGGGGAGTGTTCCTGGACTTTCCTCATTTTTTGCCAACAATTGTCTTTTTCTCTGAAGACTGAGCACCAAGTAGGGCAACAATGAAAGCCAATGACCAGGCAAGTATTCTGCCTCTGGCTGCTTCTCTGCCACATCACTTAGTGTACACACACAGCACCTCCTCCTCTGAGTCTCCCCATCCTCTTCCGAGATGTGAGCCCCCCACCCTTGCTACCTCACCTGGTTTTCCAAGGGCCTGGTTGGCCAGTTTGGAGCAAGAGTCCTGGGGTCCATAGGCTCCACCTGGGTGTGACGATCTACCTAGCGCCCCTCACCTGCCCTTCAGACCCTCCTCCCTCGGGGAAGTGGCATCCTTTGCTCCCCTGCCCTCTCTTCCCTGACTCCACCTCCATCCACAGCCTGCTCCTCCCTTGGTCAACGCCAATATGCTCCACACACTCTGGGACCTTTCTCCTCCACTTCCCCTGTTCACTACTTTTCATTTCACACCTGAAACTTCTACTGACACACACACATGCATGCGCACATGTGGACACGCTCCCGCAGAAATCTGGCCTTGAGATTCCCTTAGCTGGGCCATGCATTCCCCAAACAACCCTCCTCATACCACTCCCCAGCTCTCAAGCTCCCACTCCTCAGAGATGCTCCTCCCCCAGCGAAGTCTGCCTGCCTCAGTTATCTGCCTTACTCAATCTGATGGAGCAACTGAAGAAGCCAGCAAGCAACCCCTACGCATCCAGACTCAGATAAGGCACCCACTTCTCCTGGTTGGCTGGGACAATCTTGGTTGCTGGTGGTGGTGCTGAGTAATATTTAATAGCATCACCTTCTACTCCAAAATGTATCCTGGTTTGGACAATAAATTTGGTCACCATCTTGTGCTACAAGCCAGGAGGAGACCACCACCAGCCCGGTGACATGGATCAGAGATGTAGCAGCTCAGGGGTCACCCCCAGTTCTGGGAGCCTGTACCACCTACCTTTGGTTTTGGCTGTGGTTTTGGTTTTGGTTCTGGTTCTGGTTTTGGTTTTCGCTTTTTCTTCTCCTTCCACTCGGTGGTTTCTTCAACATCTTCAATTATGATTTCACAAAGGTTGCCATCCTTCTGTAACCAGAGTTTAAAGGGAGAGACACGGACAGCTTGTTCATTGTACGACTAGGTGGCAATTTTAATACGTACTCAACTTCCTTAATTGCCATGTCTCTAGGCCTAAGTCTCATGCCCTAATTACAGAAACCCCCCTTCTCTTGCCTGTAGCTTTGAGGGGATAGGCCTTTTCTTACACAAAACTGAATGCCCATGATTTCTAGGTAGATGGTTCAAATCTCTCAAGTCGGTGATCCCCTAAATTGGCCATGGTTAGAATTTAGATGTTTCCATCATGCTCAGGTCTGCACTCCTCCACCACAAGGTGGCAGGAAGAGTGAGGGAAGGGAGAGACTCTGATGTCATAAGGGAACCTATGACATAAGCAAATGGATAACTTCTAAAAGTCAGGCCCTTTTTAAAATGAAAGTTTCCATTCTTTCTTGCAGGAAAAGCCCAAAATGTTAAAGACACAAGGCAATGGAAATACTAGTTCACTGGCATAAGGGTGTAGAAAGGTAGTCACTGTGCTCCAGGTGAAAAAACATAATATTGAAGCAATTTAAATATGCACCAATAGGGAACTCAATACATGGATTTCAGTTCAATCATACAATGGAACCAAGTAATGATCAGAAAGAGTATATGACAAAAGACTTGACAGGTGCTAGCAAAAGGAGATTTGTGAATGGCTCAGAAACGGAAGAAAAGAAGCCAAACATCATCAGTCATGAAGAAATTAAAAATGAGACCAGTGATACAGCCCTAGGCCTCCTGAGGAATGGGTAAAATGAGAAACAGTGATAGCATTAAGTGTTGACGGGAACACAGAGAGCAGCAGCAACTCTCCCGTCCTGCTGGTAGTGCAGGTCAAACAGTACACTTGATGTGCAAAGTGGTTTGGCAGACTGTAATAAACTTAAATGTGTATCAGCCCTGTAACTCAGCAGTTCCACTTCTAGGTACTTACTTTGACCAATTTGTCAACTGTGTCACAGATTACTAGGCAAAGAATTGGTCCACTCTTCATGTAATCCAATAATACTCAGCAGTAACAGGAGCACACTAAGGAATAATGTAAATGAATTTCAAAAATATACTAAATGAAGGAAGTCAGGCTTAAAAGAGTACCTGTTAGATGACTCTATGTACATAAAATGCTAAAACAAACAAAACTAATCTACAGGTAAATCAAAATACCATTTAAAATAGGGTACAGATATAAGGGCTATTTCCTGCAACAGCACAAAACAAAGAGGAGTGTGTAATGCCTTATTTTAGTGGTGGTTACCAGGGTATACGGAATCATGACAGTTCATCAAACCAGGTGCTTTATGAAACCACACAGAGAGTTTATCTTTTTGTACTGATGTGGAAGAGCACAAGTGAAAAAGTCAAAGAATAATGATCAAAAATATTTATCTGTGTGTGTTACAACAACATTGTGAAAAAGAGTAGGGGGTTGAGGATTGGGAAGACTTACATGACAAAAATTGAGCACTGATTATCTTTGATGAGGATCTTGGGACTGGATCAATAGGCTAAACTCCCTCACTGGCTGATGGCTGTGTGCCTGGCGTCTCTGCAGGGCTCCCAGTCATCAGCCTCCTGGGAGTGCAACACACATACAGGTCAGAAAACCTTTGAGACCCTATCTAAGGCTCAAATGTCTTTGTTCTGTCTTTCTCTGCCCCTGAAGGCTTCCAGAAGCGGGGTTCCATGTCTGCCTATGCCTGGCTCCTGGACAACTCACTTGGAACAGGAAGGTCAGTTGGAGCAGAAGAGCATCTGGCCAAGGCCTGTGGGTCAGTCTGAGGCCCTGGTTTCCCTCAGAGAAACTGTCACAGGTGTCACTGAGGCACACATTTAGATGTGTAGGGTGAGCATGTGGGAGTCTGACATGGAGCTGAAGGGGGAGTGTGGGGAAGGGCAGAGGCCATTTCAGGCTGGGAGAGCTGTCATTGTGTAGCTGATGTGATCAGACCTTGTTAAGGTAGAGGGTCAAGGAAGGGTTGGTGGCAATGAATGGGACAGGGGAAGTACAGGAAGCACTTGGTCAATAAGTGTGTTGGACAATCCCCAAAACTAGATTTACTTCTCTGCAATTGTTTATCACTCAGAATCATGGCCCAGAAAAATTTTAAAGTCTTATAATTCATTCAAGCAGAAAAATTTAAAATATCTTGATGAACTTTTTCCATTATCTTTAGCAAAAAAATTCATCCCAAGCACAGCATTATCAAAGTGGATATCTCAAGCTGGGTGAGGTGGTACATGCCTATAATCCCAGCACTCAGGAGGCTGAGGTAGAACTGTGACTACATGTTCAAGGTCAGCCTGAACTACATAGGGAGATCTTGTCTCAAAAACCCAACCAACCAACCAAAAAGAAATGGGTTTCTCTCCCTGCTGTGTCTCCAGGCATTGCTTCATCTTAAACTTTCTTCTCCCTTTCTTAACAAAATACAGGTGTGTCTATTTAGAGCCAGCAGAAAAGTACTTTAATAGACAAATTCTATATTTCACATTTATTTAGATGTTTGATATGTCTGCATTATTGTCGTATTGTTTTATTGTTTCCAGCTATCACCTTTTATCCCTCCATTTCCCTATCTTTTGTTGCAGTGGTTAAGAATTCTTTGCAAATTTACCATTTTCCAGGGCCAGGGACATAGCTACGTGGCACAGTGCCTGCCTAGCAAGCACAAGTCCTGAGTTTGATTCCTGGTTCCAAAACAAAACAAAAGAATTTACCATTTGCCTATTTTAGAAGTTGATACAGGGAGATGGACTTTGTGGTGATGTTAAGAATATCTGGCAATGGGAGGTGATTGAAGGAAGGAAAGGAAAGGGGAATTAAAAGGATCAAGGTGTGAGATTTTATTATATATATATATATATATATATATATATATAATCATATAATCACAAGTATAATTTTTTTGTATTGTGAACCTATACTAAAATTTTTAAAAACTAAGCAAAATGCTAATTGCCTAGCCAGGTTCCAGTTTCCTTGCTGATGGAACTGTGATTATTTAGATAGGATATCCAGGTTTGGGAACAGGAGAAAAAAGAGATCCTTCATCAGCCTCACTAAGCTGATGTGACCCTCACTGGCCACTGGAATGTCAACAGAAGTCACTGGACACCCTTCTGGGAAAGCTGTAGGAAGTTGTGTCAGGCCAGAGTGAGTGGCTCTCTTGCCACTAGCCTCTACCCCTCTTATTTCCTGAAATCTAGACTGAATAGCAGGCACTCTGAGAGCTCCTTTCAGAATATGAGAACAAGAGTCTCATCACGAACATGGGAAAGTAAAATGATAGAACATGCCTGGATACCAGGCTCACATTAATGATTAAAATAGGGCCGGGCATATAGTTCAGTTGCACAGCACCTTCCTGGCAAGCATGAGGTCGTGAATTTGATTCCTGGTACAAAAAAAACCTATTTATTTGAGCCTCCGTTTTTTAAGTGTCTATATAGCAACTAAGCACAATTCTTAGTTGATATAAAAATTATACATTGTGTTTTTCTAATCTACTGCAATGTTAATTTGTATTTATTTTTATGATTTGCTATTAACATGTGGAGCATATCATTATCTCTCACCTCACTGTAAATCAGGCAAGAATTTTAGACTAATTCCTTTCCCCCCACCACTCCTTCAACAAGCTCACATACTGTTAGTACCTTGAGTATTATTTCTAAATTGATATTACATTTTCCCTGTCAATCTTTTAGACTAAAGTGTAGACTTTCCCGGTTTCTCTGCTCACTGTGTGCTATGGTTGGAATTCTGAAATTCAGGTTGAGATTTGATACTTACTGCAACAGTATTAAGGGGTGAGGCATTTAAAGAGGTAGTATACACTATAAATGACCCAGTGTATGGTATTTTTTATAGCAGCACAAGTGGGCTAATATATGGTTGCCTTGGGTCCCATCTCCTTCTTAGGTTTTCACTCTTACAGAGCTCATTGCCCATTAAAATTTCAACACATTACAGGAAACTGTCTGAGTCTTTGCAGATAGGAAATTGTCTTTCATTAACCCTTCACTTGGATAGCATTTTTCATGCATTTATAATTCTGTGCTTAGAAAGGTATTTTTCAGAAAGTTTGAGTATTGCTCATCTCTTTTCACTTACTATTGCTGTTCAGAAAGTAATGTCGACCTGACTTACTTTGGTCATTCTTAGTCTGTAAGAGGTCAGAACCTGAGCCCTATAAGGAAGACATACATACAGAGGGTGTCCTGATCTTTTCCGTCAGCTCAGGTTACATAAAAGGGGCATTATATAGATCAGCAGACCAATGAGAAGACAGAAGACAGCTGCTCTGAGAAGTCTATCCACACATAGGGGGTACCTGGAATTGTTATTTTTATTTTTATTTTATTTTTGGTGCTGGGAATTGAACTCAGGACCTTGCACTTGCCAGGCAGGCACTTATGCCTTTGAGCTATATCCCTGGCCCCCGGCACAGTGTTAGAACATAGCTGAGGTGAGAAAGAGATGCATGTAGGGGGATGCCCCAGGATGGTGACGGTAGAGCCACAGCAGTGTACAGCAGGGTATCCACACAGAGGAGCATCGACTTGGAGTATCACAGCCTAAGCAGAATGCAGAGGGTATGTACACAGGAGTGGGCAGCAACTGCAATATATCTTAGTCGACACCTGCAACTTAAATGGGGAGAGGTTGGTTTTTGGCTCGTGGTTTTAGTCCATTGTCAGCTGGCTCCAAGGCAGAAACAGGATGGTGGGAAATCATGGTAGAGAAAAAGGTGCTCAGACTATGACATCCAGAAAGCAGAGAGAAAAGAGTGAAACCTTGGAAGAAGAAATATCCTTCCAAGTCACACCCTTAGTGACCCACCTCTTATGAGAGGTCCCCACATTTATGACCCACTAAAGCGTATTCATTGGTGTATTTAGTCCATCTCCAAGAATCATCCAAGTCTTAACAGTTCCAGTATTGCTGAAAAGTCCAAGACCAAAGTCTTCTCTGAGATTAAAGGCAAATGCTTAGTTCTGAACCCCTTTAAAAATAAAAAAGAAAGTTAAATGCTTCCAGCATGTAATGGCTTGGGTAAACAGTACCATTCCAAGAGGGAAAAATGGAATAAAAAGGAACAGGACCAAAGAAATACCAAAATCCAGCAGGGAAAACATTAAATCTTGTAGCTACATGTCCAGCATTGGGGGACAGGTTGGGATGAGCTCTGAGCTCCAAGATGCTTGGATAGCCCCTACATTTCTGCTGGTTTCATCCCTCATGGCTCCTCTCTTCAGGTGGATCTGTGTACTGCTTGCAGCTTTCCTCAACGGATATTCCACATTCTTG